ATTAAGCGTTTATTTATTCTTTTTATTACAGCATCATAAACTATATTTGTAATATCATCAATGGAGTTTGATTTTAAGGATTGTATTTGTTGTTTTATTTCTGCATCATTTTGTAGTAAGTCAGTAACATCATCACGAATTAAACTTTTGTCTATATGCAGATCAGATTGCTTTGGTACTGCTACTGTTTCTTTCATTGATTGATGTGGTCTCATACGAAATGTTTTACGATTTGTAACACCTTCCTTTTGTGAAGAAACCGGCATCTTATACATTTACTGTTATAGAGCAACCTCACTTTTATTTCTTGATATTTTGGACATTTACTATCAGTAGCATGATGATGTCCACTACAATTTTTACATTGGATATTGGTATCAGCTTCTGCGCAATTTTTCACATCATGTGAGCCAGCACACCTCGAACATATTTGCTGCTTATCACGACGGTACTTACTAATGTGACCATAGCCTAAACAGATGAAACACTGAACCGGTTTTGTTGCAAATCTTGCAGCCTCCGTAGCGATAAACATATGGTCAATTTGTAGCCCTGTTCTGACGATCGTATTACGGTTAAAAACGTCGGCAAATGTTACTTTAACTGTCGTACCGTCGTGCTGTTTTGTGTGGTTTTTTAGACGTTCAACCTTTTCGACTAGAAGACCGACTGACGTCAGTGCTAGTTCAATTTCATCTGTTGTAATTCGTACATTGACGTTTTTCAAAAACGCCTGTTTCTCTGTGTCCATAACACGCTGTATTGTACGTGGTATGAACACCTTCACGTTTGTTGCGTTACCAAATTTCTGTTTCGGTAATTCGAGTAAAATGTCGTTGAAACTTTTGACATCCGCTGCAAACATCGTTATCGTTCCATTTTTATTGCATTGAATGTCTGTCAATCGAACAGCTGGTAAGTGAGTTTTAATGATTTTATTTAGGTCGTAACGACCTAATTGTGCACCTTGTAGAATTAGAGGTGCTAATTTTGACATTGATTGTTGCGATTGGTGATTTACGGATTGTTCATTCGAGATGTTGTGATTAGACGTATACCTTCGTTGTTGCTGAGGTCGTGATGTGGTTTTTGGCTTCTTGCGAACCGCACCGCCATCTGGAGGTGTGCCCTCCATGACTGTAGTTCGTGCGAGCAAAATTACACGTTTTCCCCGATAAATTAGGAGGAAATTTAGGGTTTTTAATAGATTTAATACAATATTTTCACTACTTCACGTAATAGAGAATAGTTAATTAGCAACCGCGTCTTCGTCTCTGGAGATGGCAGGACGAATTACCTACAGGAAAACGTTTTAGAACTTCCCGAGTAGGTTTCGGCTGCAATATGGAGTTTCTGTGAACCAAAATACCGAACTGTTTGAAGTTCTCATAGAATCGTTAGTAAAATTTTCATAGCTCAGCCAAAACCTACTTAGCAAGTAGGAAGACCTTTTCCTATAGGTAATTCGATACGTCCTACTATCTGCACAGTCAGAATCTCTTTATTGTGAGTTTTAAGACAGGTCTCCAGAGACCAGATTTCCATATATCCATAATAGAAACTTCTATTAGTACAAATCAATATCAGATGCCTTAGTTTTGACAGTTCTCTCTGGTCTAACTCTACCTTTTTCGAAGTTTAATTTGTTGAGTACATTGTTAGTCGTGCAAAGTGATAAAGATAAATGACTAGTATTAGTGTCAATATCATTAGACAATAAATTGTTTGATAAAACTGGATGATTCTTCGAAAGACCATGCTGCCAAAAACGACGGCACGCTAGTCGAATGGTTTTGCCTGTATATTTTGTATCACAATCAGCACACGGGATGTCATTAACTATATCCGATAATAAAAACTTTTCTATTTTGTCTTTTACATTAAGTACTGCTTGAGCAGGTCTGTGAGGTTTGAGAATAATTATTAACTCGATGTTTGGTTTGATATGTTGAATAAAATTCTTTAAATCACGGCTGAAACTATTAACAGAACTATGACCAAACGGAATTTGGATGAATATTCTTGTTATGATCTTCACCTTCGGTTAGATCATATCATCACTTCTCCTATTCTTCTTATAAAATACATATATATACTTTTGTGCGTTATTCTCTATGTTCTGGGATTTTCCCCATATGTAACTTTCTCT